TCTCGCCTACATCGTCCATATAGGACGACTCGGGAACTCAACTCCTACCCCGGGCAGCTCACCTATCCCCTTATGCCCAGGGGAAAGGTATCAAGCCGTTTGACAGCAGATGCTAGCTGTCAAACCGGCTTTTACGCAAAACAGGCGGGAGGCAGCAAACAGCTGCGACCGACGAAATCGCCTGCCACCGGAAGTCACACAGTGCCTTTTTATTGATAGTATAGGACCTATCCATTTGAAGATTCCATTTATGTATGGAAACAGAATTATTACCCATTGTTTCCTCCTGGAATCCCTCACCATCATCTATGCTGATAGCTCTTGAGAGTTGCACTTTAGCAATATTTGAAGGACAGCAAGTTCATCTATATCTTATTTTATTAATGAAAACAAATAAATAGCAAATCAGAAGAAAGGGCCAGCCAATCTTCTGTATCTCATATGCTGGATCTGGAAATGCACTGCTGTCCTATTAGCAGCATGGCCACAAAAGTCTGTAAACCATTGAACTGAAAGATTTCTATATAGTGTAGGGTTTCATCTTAAATGCCTTCTATATGCTATTCAGGATGAAGTATGTTATAATATTTCACTGTCTCATATTTTGGGGGTATTTATTTTTCCCTGTTATTGCTAATTTTGATTTGTACCTTTTAGAGAAGGATATGGATTGTCAGAGACTATTTTATTTATTTATTCATCAAATTTCTATACTGCTCATCTCACCTAAGTGACTCTGGGCAATTTAAAAACAGCAAGCCATTAATTTGCATATACATGGTTACTAATGAACATGCATCTCTGATTCAGTTACTAATTGGCTTCTAGGTAAAAATTTACTTGCATTTTTAAATGTTTTTATTTTATAATTTCTAATTATACTTTTTATTCTATTTTCCCCTGAAATTCCTGGTTTCTCTGCTCTCTGAATCCTCTATTTCTTACTATATTTTTATATGGCAATCCAGACACACACTGAAATGAATTGGAAATCAATCACATAGATTGGAAAATGGAGGGTTTTTTCACATAAATGTGTTTAGGATTACAGTTCAACTAATATTTCTCTGCAAAAAAAATAATAAATAAAATCCCTGTCTTAATTCTCGTTCTCAGTTACCTAAGAGGTAATGGTATCTCAGTCATGGCTTCATCTTCTAATATGTATAAATATAGTTAAGAATATAAATATAAGAATATAAATATGCCTTTGTTCTTTTACTATAAACCTGTTTTTAAAATTGCAGTAATGCTTGGATTGAATTCTCTTTTAAAAACTGATACATGCTTCATTTCAATAACACATTCCTCATGTACACTGATAGAAAGACAGGGAAGGGTAAAGTAATTAATTCCAAAGAAACCTACACGTTATGGATAGGAATGACGGCGGGGAGAGTCAGAAATCTGCCTCCATTATCTTCAGATTCATCAAGAACAAAAAAATTGTTAATACCTATAACCTGCAAATGTCATTATGTTTTCTAATTATATTATGCAGTTGTGAGCGTATCCTAACATATATAGTAGGTGTTTAATATCCTCTACCATCAACTTCCATTACAAGAATCTTATGAAAGCTTACTCAGAAATTTGATACAATTACAACAGAGATCTTCCAAATGAATCAATGAATGCCATGCCATGCCATGCCATGCCATGCCATGCCATGCCATCTATCTATCTATCTATCTATCTATCTATCTATCTATCTATCTATCTATCTATCTATCTATCCATCTATCTGTGTGTGTGTGTGTGTGTGTGTGTGTATGTATATATATATATAATTTCTATGGTATGGTTTTATTTCTATGGTATGGATTTACCCAGGATTCGCATTTTTAGCATAATTAGAGATCATATATATATATCAGATCACACGGCTCCCTGGAGTATCTTATGCCATTATTATAAGTGTATCACCATGGAAACCACCAGTGTTAAGATAAATAATTTATAAAACTGCCTCCCTAACCTCTTTTGTACTGTATACATATTATCCAACAGTGTGCACGCTAAAGAACTACTGAAAGTGTGTTCAGTCTCCCTAAACTTGAGTCCTCTGGATATGCTTCACTACATTTCCCATAATTCAGTGGTTATTATGGGAATAATAATTCAACGTATATAGAGAATGCCAGAAAAAAAAGAAATGTATATTATAATGGCACATGCAAAAAAAAAAAATCTTCATTGAGCTGGTTTCTGAGTTGTATTCTATAAGAAAGCAATACCTCATCGACAGTGCATCTTAAACTGACCTCAAATCATAAATTCTGTTAGGCTCCAAGAGAAAGAATTATTCAGAATTACAAATGAGCAAATTAAACATAGGGCACCAAAGTGTGGATTTGGTTTTACTGTTTATCTAATATCTAAAGCTGTGCAGTTAATGATTACATTTTAACAATCTGATTTAAATTGATGTGAACTTGTAAGTAACTATTCTCAAAATATTCATGAGCAGAATAAGACAGCTCCCGTTTCTTTTCATTTACTGAAAGCTATGGATTACTGATTTCCCATGGATTGTCTTCTGTCCATGGGAGGGAAGCTTGGTAGATTCTAAATTTCATAATTTTAGTTATTCCTTTCGCAGGCTATATATGAGAACAAGCTGCAAAGGTCTTTAAAAACATGTTTCTCATACATTTATATTTTTGAATCATAAATATTAAATCTTTGTTCTTTGAAATGATCCATACTAACGCTTTAGAAATATAATTTCCAATTTTAGCTACAGTAAGCAAGCAAATTACACTACTAAAACTAAATTTAACGTTACTTGTTAAAGATATTTACTATATTTCAGAATTAGTATTCTTTCAGTCACAATCTTATTCCTATTCAATTTAGCTGATTTTAAAATGTGATGTAAAATCATAAGCACAAAAAAAGATAACAGCAGAAACAGCTGCAAATTTACTCAACAGTTCTATGCTTAGCAACATTTCCATTTAATCAAAGTCCTTGCTCTTTCCAAATCTATTTCAGTGTTTACTTTCTATATATACCCAAACAATGGGAAATGAGTTTGTGGGCTGGTTCAAATTTCTTACACATTCCAAAAATTATGTCACGCGTGATGTATTTATAATTGACAGTACAATTGGCAGTGCAGATATGCCAAATGCTTCTAAAGTCAGAACCAAAATACATATATACACAATTTTTTTCTCCCCTAAATTTTCAGGTAATGTACCTGTTCCATATAAATATAAAATCATGATAGGCTCTGTATTTGTACAGGTGGCTGATTATCTCAGTGTGCAGAAACTTGGATAACTATAACCAGAAGTTGCAAGCCCTCTCCTTTTCAATGCATAGGAATTCAGACCCGAGATGAACTTTTTGGTCTCTGCTGGATCTTCCTAGGATAGGAAGTCTGAGAAGGAAATCCAGAATCTTCACAATGCCAGTATGCAGGTAAGCGCACTTCTCGGCAATCTTTCCCCCTTTTGTGCCCCTGGGAAGCGATTTCACCAACTTTCTCTAAGTAAGTAGCGGAGTTGCAAACAGGGCGCAGTGCGACCAAAGAGTATAAGCCGTTTAAGAAAAAGGTATTCAAATATTTCCCTCTCTTCTCCTTTTCTGCTTCGAGTGGTACGCCTGTTTTCGGGGGGAAAGCGGAGGCGTCTATTTCTCGCTTCTCCTGACGCGAGAGCGGGGTTGCCTTTCCAAGTCGAGGCCGCTCACGGGAGAAGGCGCGGAAAAGGCGAATGATTCCAGGAGAGAACCGGCGCGCTCGGGGTTGCTATAGCAACGGCCTCGTTGGAATTCACGGCAGCCGCCGCCATCACGGACCACGAGAGGGTGCCGAAGCCACGCCCTGACAGCGCAGCGGTTTGACATTGCTGCGGGCTGGATGCTAAGGTCGAAATTGACATTTAGCCATGCGAGGTTAGGGGTTCCTCTTTTTTTTCCCCAGCACTTGGGAATCAGCAGTCACGCGTCTATACAAAGGTGAGGGAACAGAACACAGTGGAAGTGTGCATCGCTGAGCTCAAAAGATTCTAAGTGAGCAGGAGGTAACGGAAAAACATCGCAGGCAGTGAATTCCACACCCCACCCCACGTTAAGGAAATAGCTTTGTGAAGCCAAGCAGGTTGTCAAGTAATAGCATGCAAGATTTTGAATTCTTCAGAATGCAAGTGAGATTCGGGAGGGAGGATCTGATTGATGGGTTATGATCTGAGATAATTTCCAGACTCATCTACTGAATCTTGAGCCATAATCTTCCACGTTCAACTCAATAGGACTTACGATGCCTTCAAGTTGCGCTTTGAACTTTCCCTAGGGCTCCTGAAATAATTACATTACACAGTTATTGTACATTACACAGTTGCTGAAAACCCCCCATTTTAATGTAATAAATCCATCTGTTTAATTTGATCAGTTTTCATCTAGAAATTATTTAACTAGTATTTTTGCAGAGTTGATGATTTATTAAAGAGGAAAATCTTAGAGCAGTGTTGCTCAATCTTGCAACTTTAAGAAGTGTGGACTTTAACTGCCAGAATTTCCCGGAGAACTCTGGGAGTTGAAGTTCACATATCTTAAAGTTACTTAGATTGAGAAACATTTCCTTAAAAGTATTTGTCTGCATATTGCTTTCGATAGAAAAGAATCTTTATAGCTCACAGTTGAACTGTGGTGTCCTTGGTGCTCTCTAAGCTGTTTTCCTGCAGATATTTCATTACCCAACACTCTGATAAACAAGTTAACAGTAAACAACAGCCTAATCAAGAAACCACTAAAAACACTTCCACCAAACACTGACATGGCAAGCATAGAGAAAATCCCACTCCCTCCTAGCACTGAAGATATTACCTATTTGGGTAATGAAAGAAAACAACCAAGCTCAGAGAGCAACAAGGCCGCACATAATGTTTTAATGCAGGGGTCTTCAAACTTGGCCCTTTTATGACTTGTGGACTTCAACTACCAGAATTACAGCGTGCCTGGCTGAGGAATTCTGGTAGTTGAAGTCCACAAGTCATAAAAGGGCCAAGTTTGAAGACCCCTGTTTTAATGTGTACTAGGAAGAGATTTGCAATCTATGTTGACTTTTTAGCTTGAATCAGCTACCACAAGCTGAGGGATTAAACTATGGGTTATATTTCAGATGTGAGAATTATATACCCATCTTTGTGCCAAAATATTTTTTTTCAGGAAGAATAGTTGCCTGCAGATACAATCATGTATTTTAGGCTGAATAACACAGGAATGCTCTTTTAAAAAGTACCCACCTTTCTCAGATGCTTCTCTGCCTGCCTTCCAACTATAGCTTAAGCAAAGTCCATCTTTAAACTATCAAAGAGTCTGTTGGACTTAGCTGTCACAGGGCCTTTTCCCAACTGTGCCTACATCAGCACAACAACCTTTTTTTTCTGTCTTGTCTTTATGACAGTGTCCTTATCTCATCCTCAACCAGTATAAATATATGAGGTCACCACAAGACTGGCAGCCCTAGGTCCTTAGACTTTCTAGTCAGTTGCACCTTCAATGGATCATTATTCTTGATTTATGTTTTGCTGTGGAAGGATAACATTACTGGGAGGCAATGGAAATTACTAGCTTTTTCTTTACAAATATATTTAAAGGTTAAGTTTTTAAAGCATTATATAGCAGATTTTAAGAAATTTTATCAGACAGCAAAAGTGGTATGGAAGAGGCAATCACTGTGTCATACTTTTCTGTTTTTATGTGTTTTTATGTTTTGTACATCCCACATGGCATAAAATAATAATAATTTATTACCTGCATATGCTGGCTGACTCCCGGCAACTCTGAGCAGTTTACAAATTATTTAAAACATTAAAATAAGAAAGCAAAAAAAGGGTAAAAATGGCAAGGTGACAAAAAGGTAAACATAAAGGTAAAGATAAATTATAATTAAAACATTACAGTCAAATGAGGCCTCAGAATTTAATAAATGAAAAATGTGGAGAGATATTTATGCTTTCCTCAATTATAAACCCATTAATATGGTGACAGTGAAATATTTAAATAAAGTGAGAATATTACATGTGTTCGGGGAAAACATTTATTGTTTTGAGATAGAATTGAGACTATAGTTTAAATTATTATCAACACCCAAAAAGTGATTGAAAATTATTAATATTTTTGATAGGGGAGTATTGCAGATTACTATTAAGGATATTACAAGATAGTTCATGGAGCTATCTGGATATGTGTACAAAATATTTATGTTGATACAAAATAAGACAGCTAGAATACCAAATGAAATGGTGTGTTATCATGGTAATGACAGTACATATTTTATTTATTGGTTCCCAGTTTTCTTCCAGTATGATTACATGTTGGGGCTGTACTATGTGGAAGAACATCTGTGGCATGTTTCCCTATTTAAGTCCTGAGATCATAGAATAAGGCCCTACTCCCAATGTCTCAGATGGGTCACTTTAAATAGATACTCCAAGATAAGGAATACTGTTTCCAGAAGTGTCTTTTTCTGCACCTGTTGAATTACTGTTTCAGCCTTGAGCTTTTTAATTTTCTAGAACTTCATCGGATATGTAGTGCTTTTAATTAGTCTGTTTCAATTGTATTTTAATTGTTGCTTCTTTAAACTGTAATTTTAATCGTTAATTTTTAATAATTTTATTTGTATTTTTAAAATGTTATACTATACTGAAAGCTTTCAATAGCTTGACTAATGCATTTTTAGAAATATTAACAAAGGCGGTTGTGTATTTGCAGTGTTCATATAATAATTTTGATTATGTTTCAGTCTGTGGAGGAAAAATAAAGGGCCTGGTTTCAGAAGATTATGTCCGAAGATTCAAATAAGGACAAGCAGTACATAGAACAGTTAACCAGTGAAAATTACAACTCAGTATGTTTAAACCTTCAGTTTTTTATATTCTTCTAACATTTAATTAATAACTGGGCTTGTATGCACTTCAAACATAGCTGATTCTAAGCTATATAGTCCATCTATTTGTCAAAGGGAACATACAGTAGATAACTATTCCTCTCCTACTTGTATATTTCCTCATATGCATTTAAATTGTATTTGTCTAGGCAGTAGATACCATAACAATTATTTAAATATACAATATGCACTTCCTTGCATTATCTGTGCAGTATTTTCTCCGCATTACATTTTTTACATCCAATATTTTTTTAAAAAATGTGCAGTTTATAAAATCCAAACCTGCTAACCCCAAAATTGCATTGCTTCTTACAGAAATGTATTGCATTGAAACTATTATATTTGTAGACATTCTCCTATCCAAATGCCACATATCCAGACACAGAATAGTTTTCCATAAATAATTAACACATTTCCTTGTGCTTAATAACTTTAGCAGAAAATAGAATCTATTCATTTTACTTCTTTATTACCATCATTTTTATGCCACCTCTGTCCAAGACTTAGGGTAGCTCACAATCTAATAGAAACAACAAAATAATAAAGCAATCATCTAATAATCACAATACAAATTTATAAAAATTCCTTAGCACAGAGGTCCCCAAATTTTTGGGCACCAGGGACTGGTTCCGTGGAGAAAGGTTTTTCCGCAGACTGGAGAGTGCACGGTTTTGTGTGCTGCCTGCATCCCATGGATGGGGCTTTGCTTGTTTGTGCAGATGGTTGCTGGCATGCCGCAGCCTGGTACTGGGGGTTGGGGACCACTGCCTTAGCAGACCAGACCTGAGCACTTACTTGAAATCTTCTGTTCTAAATACTATACAAGAAGAATCATCTTTATAGCCCCATTAGTGGGTCATAATGTCAATAGTCTTCTTCAACCCAAGTGATAAAATGTTGCAGATGAAGGAGCTGGCACTGAAAAGATCTACCTCCAGACCTACAACCTCCTGACATCTAAGAAGGTAACCTCAACAAGTCCTCTCAGCCCTTTGTACCAGACGGACAAAATCTATGTGTAGGAAGTCTCAAATATAGTACCTCAGAGGCAGAAATCTTTATTCACAATAATCTTGCCTTATCAAATAATATAAGATGTGTTGAATTACAGTTCTTCCCCCTGTGAGATGCTCAAACTACTGTGATAGGAATTGTAATCTGTTGTATACAACTAAAAGATGTGAATAGTTCGACTTAAGTATTACTCTCTGCTTTGATCTCTAGCAATCCATGCTGTGCTCTTTACCAAATTACACTGGGATTAACCTGTATTTATTTATTTAGGAAACCTATATGATCACCTTGTACATGATAATCCCAGGCAGCTCACAATGACACTCAATAGATATAGCTAATATAGCAATACATTTCTATAAGAGTCCCATAACATATTTATATGCCATAGCAGCCAAACAACTTTACATTTATATTTATATTTGCTGGTCTCACTTCCATCCTAGCCCAATGCCTGGATAAAGAACTAAATCTTTATCGCTCTCCAGAAAACTAATAAGGTGGGAGTCGTCTGAATCTCAAAGGGGAGATTTTTCAAAAGGGTTGGGGCTATCATGAAAAACGTCTGTCTGAGATCCCATCAGATGACAACATTTAAGAGAAGCACACTCACCCTATTTGATGCTGTAGGACAGATCATCCTGATAATTCAGGATGCCTAATAATATGCATATTTTCTGTATTGTATTCCAAAGCCCAGGATATATTTTTTCTTTTCACCTCATTATTTCTTTTAGTTTTGTCCTGCAAAAGTAAAAATTAAGCATGAATTTTCTATTAATAGTTATTTTTACTAAATTGTTAATTTTCATTTTGCAAGAATCACGTTTTCTCTTTTATTTTATTTGTATTTTAGGATGAGGATTCTTTTATCCCATACGTAACAGAAGATCTTGAGCAGTGTGCATTTGTCGCAGGTCTGAATAGTTCTATTTCTTGTGAACTGAGGATACATATGGGTAACATTAAAAATGAATTGCCATGTAGCTGTAGCAAAAGGTTGGCATACATAATGCCTTCTAAATATATTGGAACACATCTGAAGAAATTGTATTCACTTTTTTTGTTAATGAATTATCTCTTATACTAATAAATAACATACTTGAATACATATCTATACGCCTATCATACTGGAATTGTAACTGGTAGCCTGAAAAAGAAATTAAGAAAGTGTAATCCACATATGTTAAAGCCACAAGATGATAAGAAAATATAACTAATTCTAGTTTACACAATAATATTTACTGTCTCCCCATACCTTTCAAGCCTTACAAAGTATTCTTGCTTTGACTGTGTCCATCCTCTTCTTCATGCATTGCCTTTTCTTCTTTAAATTTCTTCCCTCTCAGTTTTTCAGGAACTCATCAGCCCCATTTAATGATGAAAGTCCTTGGTTGTACCCTTCTCTTAATTCATTAACTCTGTAAATATTT